AGAGTTTTTATAGCAGGAAAGTGTGTGTATGTGTGTGTGTGTGTGTGTACTCAACTAATTGTGCTTGCGGGGGTTGAGCTCTGGCTCTTTGGTCCCGCCTCTCAACCGTCAATCAACAGGTGTGTGTGTGTTATTGAAATTCTAGCTGTTATTTTTATAACAGGATTGCTGGCCCCAGTGTGTATCACACCTCTGTAGGGTTAGAATACACGTTTGCTACTTTTTGTTCTACTTTTGTTGCTACTTTTTTTTGTTGCTACTTTTTTTTGTTGCTACTTTTTTGCTAACTTTTTTTAAGCTAAAGTTTCCAAAGTTTTAAAGACAATGATTTATTAATTGTTATTGAGAAAACATCTGTAGGTTTTTATTTCTTTTTTTTTTATAGTAAAAACTTGTAAACGCGTATAAAACAAAACATACTCTGTAAGGGTATATACCAAACATACTCCATTGTGTTTTGTGTGTGTGTTTGTTTCATTTTCAAGCAGCCTCTCTTGGTTTAACGAGTATTACAGTAGGCAGTATTGAAGGAACACTTGTGAAACACGTCCGCAAGAGCACTCCCATATCATCCACAACGGGCTCGCCATACATAGCCTATGCTACTTGGAATTTTTTGTTCCAAGTAGCGAATCTTTAACAACAGCAAGAGCACTCCCGCCTCTTCATGTACTTATGTTAATTGTGGATTGTTGTTTTTTTTATACTTTAAAAAGATTAAGGTTTGTGAAAGGACACTAATACTGTATAGGTGTTGTGTATTTATGCCTATGTATGTGTGTGTATGTGTGTGTATGTGTGTGTATGTGTGTGTAAAGTGTGTCTGGTTATATAATGCAAAGAAAATAAAGAATACCCAGTTAAAAGAAAGAGCCTAAAGCGTAGTTTTGTCTGTCCTTCTCAACTCGTAAAAAAAAAAAATATTAAAAGAAAATATTTAAATATATTCTTTAAAAATTCTTTAAATTTTAAAAATAAAATTTTAATTTTAAATTAATTTAAAAATTAAATTTTAAAATTTTAAAATTTTTTTAAATTCTTTAAATATATTTAAATATTTAAAAATATTTAAACAAGAATGTCCAACCAGCGTTGGCTGGAGGGATACGGTGAAACAAGTATATATATATATATATATATATATATATATATATATATATATGGGGGGTTCGATGGCGTCGTTAGCAGGGATGCCAGCGGCTCCGTCGGGAATGCGACGTACGACGAATCTCAACGTGGCGGCAATTACATCAACGCCCAGCCGGGAGGTCGTATCCCAGCAGGCTGGGACTCTTGCGTCGGTTGAACCAACGACTCTTGCAACGCTGTAATTGACATCCCACAGCGCGATGTCAATTACAGCGTTGCCAACTGGGGCTCCGACGACGTCCCTGCGTATCGCCTCAGCATGGCGCCACTGTCGCCAGCTGAGGCGGCGACGTCTGGCGTAAGCCAGGCAGTCTGTCTGTCGCCAGCCGTAAATGCTAACTGAACGTAACGATGCTTATCTTGGCTCGTCATTTTATATATATATAAAAACAAAAACAAAAATACAACAGCAAAGAAAATGTCCAAAATAATGATTTACAAATCATTTTAATTCGTGATAATTATACTACATAAACTCAACTCTGTCAACTCAACAAACCAGTCTAACAAATACTTAATTATTATCTGTCTGTGCTGTATGTCTTTGTCTATAACTATCTATATTATTTTTTTCTATATTATCTATATCTATATTATTTATAATATCTATATTATTTGTAAACATTCTTTATTATTTGTCCGTAGTATAAAAACACGTAATTAGCCAAGTCAACGTGAAACCCCCAATTTCAACCACCTACTCAACAATATCCTGAACAAAGAACACATTAATGCATCAAGATAGATTTATTGAGTGGATATCCTCTAGTAGGGGGGGGGGGAGGAGGGGAAGGGGTCTGTAGATGATGGTCTTAAGGCCTACCAACCGCTGGTGGTGTTAGGACTTACGGCCTATCAACCGCGAGAGGGTTCTTCAGGCCGACACATCAGTCTACTAACCAGGCATTAAGAATACTTTACTCCTCCCTATAAATCGGAACTAGTCAAACTCTCAGTGTGTATATATATACGTCTGGGTGTATAGATGTATCTCCCTCGTCAGTTGAGGAGTCATCAGCAGTAAAGCGCACAGTGATATGTGGGTAAAACGTCTTAACAAAATAAATATGCTAAGTGGTAGCTATTAGACATTACGAGAGTTTGCAGGCCCCCATGTATCCTGTCGCCAGGCGCTGTATCCTGTCACTGTTTCTCTGTATCTGTGTCGTAACAATTAG